GTAGGAACTCACTGAAATATATTTCAATCTAGGTTTTCAAAGCCAATTGAGCAAAAACAAAAGCTTTGTCAGAGTAAAACCAAGAAATGAGATTTCAAAGAATTTCAAAGCTTATTTGGAGCAGGATAAAACGGGATGTATACATGGATTTCCAGCGACGAGAAATCTCCTCCGGCAATGTGTAATCTCCGACGACAGAAAGAGGGACGAAGAGACGACGAATCACGATCTCTTTGTCAATTTTTTTTGATTTTTGATTTTATTTATCAAATTAAAAGAAGATTATTTTAATCACGTACGTAATTTGAGACGGTTAGAAAGCGTTCTTGATCTCTTCCTTGAACATGGCCATCGCTCCCCTAGGAAGCGTTACCAGCAACCGAGCACCACCGCTCATCCCTGGATCTGCCTGTGACGCCGGCAATAGAATACAGAAATATGTCATTCTCATCGGAACCAAAGGTATAATGTTCACTAAACCATCGTACTGATAACCGACTTGCCGCCAATCCGTGAGCGTCATCCACCCTCCCTTATTGTCCTTAAACAATGCCATCTCTTTCAGATTAATTCTCTCAATCTCACTAAGTTTCCCCAACACGTACCGCTTGTCTAACGCCGCTCTCTTCGTATCTGCTATGAGCCTCACAACACGAGACAAGGGTGATTCGCTCAGCTCCTTAACTGTCAACGCCACTGAAGGATTGACAAAGGAATTCCCATAGTAGCCTTCTGGTAATGGCGGGTCCATAACGCCGCGGATTCTAACGAATAACCCAAAAACTGTAGTCCCTTCTTCATTCAGCTTCAAGGCTCGGCATCTTGCTCTCCAGATGTGGGCCTCAAGAATCTCTAGACTCGTAACAGCCACTTCGTTCTTCTCCTTTTCATTTGTGATCTCCTCGTCCTCTGCGATAATCTTCTTGAGTTTCGTAATATCTTCGGAGGTAATGTTCAGGATCTCACGGACCACGTCCTCGGTCATTGTGTACGGCGAAATTGCAATAGTTGAGCAAGCCTTCGGCAATTCAACCAATTCC